CGACACCCAGTGGATGCATGGCGACAGCTACGCCTGGCGACTGATTCGGTTCAGCTTTATGCATCTCATTGCCCAGCGCATCACCGAACTCACCCGAATGCTGAACCTTGACAGCGAACGTAAGTTTTGCAGCCTGGGGAGCTCAGCGAAGGGATACATTGTCAGCTGAGTGGTTTTTGTATTTCTTCACTCCTAGAATCGAAACAACATCAAGACCAGGGCTAGCGATATTTAATGTCCTTGCCTAGGATGGGTACCTCGTCGCATGTGCTAAATTTAACAAAAAGATTTAAAGTCATAAGAAACGTTTTGTGTCTGACAAAAAAGCTTTTGCGCATTGTTTTAAATTGATAAACAAGCGTTTAGAAAGTCCGAAGCACCTCTCCTGCCCCTCCGAGGATTAGTGTACACTCTCATGACTGTGATTCATCAGTGTAGACGCGCAAACGTCCCGAGGAGGACGTTAACTGCCTAAAAGGCTGATTTGTTTTTTTCAAACTGCCGGTCAGCATGTTACTGTGTAGAAGCATTTTAACAGCTTTTTTTAATTCCTCATAAAATGAATCGGTAAGTTGCAGTTTAGTAATCTGAACCAAGGTTTATAGTCGGAGACCAGAAGTTGTTATTAAATTTTGACCGAAGTCGATCAGCCACTGTGGGATAACCACGTAATATCCAGTAAACAACCCATTGACATTTTATTCCTTCAAAATCTTTCTACTAACGTTATTTAAGTAGGTAAATTATGTCCACGCAAGTTGCACGCCTCGGGTTGGTAAGGCGCAGTGGGCTAGTGTTTTGGACTTCAAACTAAGAAGGTCGCGGATCCGCACCTCGGGTGTGAATGTGACTTGCTGATGGCGACTTATAAGCTGGAAACGACCACCTTCCATTTTCGCTTGTCTTTGGCCGTAATATATCGCTACCTATTATATACTGAAGTTACATACAAACATAATACTGGCAGAGCAGGATAATCTACCCGAAAGTACACAATGATCCAATGATGATTGAAATTAATCGCAGCGGTGAACCACGCGTCTGTGATTTTAGATAATAATTCCAGTACTCCCAGTCTGGGAGTACTTCCAACCTCAGAATCAGAACCCCATAAGTGTATACCTCAACATTTACCAATAGCTTACGGGAGCTTATTTCTTGCCTTGCTGAACTAAATGACGAAATTTTTAGCCACCATTACTTGTTGGAGAGAGAGAGATATGTGTTCCTTAAATGGCTTTTCTTACACACCCTTCCAGACCTGGCCACCTATGCGCCCTCGGTGCCGAAAACCCTGACCCTAATCGAGCTTTGGAAGGCGGGCTATGAGTCTGCCATGCAAACCCCCCTCTCCCAACACCAACCCTCCGACGTTTTGGGCGCCCGTGTTGGCGCCGCGGGCGCCGGC